CCCCCCCCCCCCCCCCCCCCCCCCCCCCCTTCTCCCCTCTCCCCTCTCCCCTCTCCCCTCTCTCCTCATGCAGTGAAAAGTTGCTGAACCTTGAGACATCAGCTTAGTTGTCTTCTATGGAAGTTCCCGCTTCAGGTCGACTCAGTCGCCAACGAGGCCCTTGCAAGGTGTCAAGTCATCGTGCGGGTCCTTCTATGACAACTGGTTGTTTATCTGCAGTCTCAAGGTGCTGAACAATGCTCGGAGCTTCCAAGGAGGCAACGAGCATCAGGCGGCATACCGAGAACTCAGGAAGTCCGTCGTTCGAATGAAATCGCTAGTATTCATCCTTGGCTACTTCTTCCTCGCTCGCCTGACGACGCTGAGCAGATACAGGAGGGAGTCTCGCTGTCATCGCAAGAGGACTGGCAGTTAGGGAGAGGAGCCGTTCTCACTCTGATCGACTCGTGCAAGTGCTTTGCATCGATGAGTCTGATAGTTGCAAACTTGCGTGGGGATCACGAACAGGGCAGGAGCAGCATCTTGCAAGACAGTGCCGATGCTCTTGCTCTCGTTACCGGACGGATTGCCAGCATGTTCAATGGTGGGAGGTGTGCAGGAGATGGGGTAATGCTGGGCAGTCCTGTGACGCCTGAGCAGGTGCTGGGAGGATGTGGCGAGTCAGGCCGGGTCCGGCATGGAGCTACTTCAAGGGACCGAGGTGCTTGCTTTCGATCTTGTGGTGCTGCTCTGAACCCGAGGAAACGACAGAGATGCTTGCAATGTCTTGAGCAGTGGTTGTGCGATGCCATGAATGAGCCTCCCAGAGCTCCTTCTTGGCGCAAGTCGCACTTTGTTGTTTGGAACACAATCCGTGAAGGTCGCACAAGGACGGAATTGCAAAGTGAGCTCACGGGTTCTGTACCAGATTCTGATTCAAGTCTTGTTTGCTTGCATGCGTTGGACCTGATCCTTGTTTCCCTCTCTACCATCATGTACATGAACAAGCCAAGTACACAGGACCATGTCAAGGGTCTCCTGCATAAGGTCGACATGTTGATTTTCTGACTCGTTGTGTTGAAACGTTCAACATCCAGCTTCAAAGTCTCACATGCAAGTTTATGACCCCAAAGAATGTCAAGAGGAGGGCAGGTGAGTCTGACACAATCCGTCAGCTCCTTGTGTGGAGGAGAGATAGAGGTGCACAACAAACTGGATCCACCGCAGACGAAGATGCAGCTGCGCAGCCCAAGATATCCTTCCGATGCTACTTATCTCTCCTGCACTCCAAGTGCTGCTACATCCTTGCATGTATCACCGCATGTCGACATGTGGCATGCAGGATGACTTTGCTGGTGTCAGGTTGTCACTTCCTCCAAGGTAGTTTCCAGGAATCCCTCGAGGCTGTGAAGAGCTCGGTGCAGTCCACTACAGACTGTCTCCTACCCGCCCTGATGCTGTCGGGCAGGACTTACTGCAACCGCACGTGCTGTACCTGGAAGGCTGCCTGAGGCTTCTCTTGTCCCAGGAGTTGGTGCAAGGTGAACTGCAAGCATCGCACAAGCCCTTGCAGGAAGACGAGGGCAGCGAGGAAAGCAGAGAGGATGGTCGTCCTGCCAAACGGCAGAGGAAGGAGGGGAAGGAAGAGACTGGGAGGACGCGAGGACGCGAGCATCTTGTGCGAGCGATAGAAGCATTTCGATCGTGCGAGGCAAAGAAGGTCCTTGAGTTGCTTCGTGCTGGCTGATGGCTGATGGGGAGTTTGAACCATCAGTATCGTCCTACTGAAGCCCTCAATGCATCTGCTCAGTGCCTCGCGATCTTGGCCGACATGTCGAGGAGGTCGAACTTATCGGAAGGTCGTGACCGCATGAGTCAGAAAGGAGCAGAGGCAACCAGTGAGCGTCCTGCTGCTTCTCTCAACCAGAGCGTTCCCATGAATCACTCGGATCTAGAAACAATACAAGAGTTCGAGAAGTGCCTGAAGCAAAGTGAGTTGTGACTTTGCCAGCCTGCTGTGGAGAAGATGGTGCTGAACGAGGAGAGCAGGTGAGGATGCATCTGGCTCACTCTTGTCTTCATGGGTTCTTGTAAATATATCCCGGATGTATCGACATGTTGGAAACATTGACATGGAAGAGACAATGCTGCGCAATTTTCTCCAGGTGACGAAGACGACGAAGACGACGAGGAATATGACGATGGTCGAGATTATGATGATGATGATGATGATGATGATGGTTTTGGTGGTGATGTTGGCTACCATTGGGTCTTGGTGTAGGAGGAGGAGGAAAGGAGGAGGAGGAGGAGGAGGAGGAGGAGGAGATCTCAATATGACTTCTGTATCTATATCTCAGTCTGGAACTCAACAAAAAGTCGGCCAGCTTACAAGCAATCGTCACCGTATTCCTTTACAACCTCCCCATCGCCAAGAGGCTTCTTTCTCGTCTACAGCTCTTCAGTATGGCAGAAACGGAATCCTCCTCCTTCTCACGTTCCATACCTCCTCTTTCTTTTCTCCCTCCCCCTATTCTCCCTCCTTCTCGTCATCTCGTTCCACCTTCTCCTCCTCCTCCTCCTCCTCCTCCTCCTCGTTTTCCTCCCCTTACCCTTTCTCTTCCTCCTCCTCCCCTCTCTCCCCCTCCTCCTCTTTCCATTCCTGATTATTCTTTAACAACGTGCTGAAGGTCACGGCATGCAAGAGTCAAAATGCTGCAAGGAGATGTCAATGAGGTTGGTCGGATTGCACGTCTGCCTATCATCATCAACTTCTACTTCGTCAGCTATCATTTCTAACAACTCCACCATCGGCATCATCACTACCACTCTCATCGTAATCGTCGGCCGCGTCCTCCTCCTCCTCCTCCTCCTCATCATCATCATCATCATCATCATCATCATCATCATCATCATCACTTCTTCACAGGCAGAAAAGCTGTACGCGCGTCTCCTCCATAGGAAGGAAGAGCAAGAAGGTCAGCCCTCAACAGCCTATCAACTCTGATTGACAAGTTGCAGACGCCGCATGGGCCAAGGAGATGCAAGCAAACTCTTGGCTGCCGCACGGTGGAGCATACTTGTCTTGTCTTTACAGCTTACAGCCTCTCAGCCGAGGAGGAAGCTGCCGATGAAGTCGCCATGAAGGAGGATTACATTTACCTCCTCCTCTCCTCCGGGGAGCCCGAGCGAGCATTGCAGGTGTCCCGAAGTTCCTCCTGCCTTCCCCCACCCGCCTCCTCCTCTCCGTCTCCCTTCACTCTCTCTCCCTTCCTCTCTTTCCCTCTTGTCCTCTCTCACTCCCTCCCTCCCTCCCTCCCTCACTCACTCACTCACTCCCTCCCTCCCTCACTCCCTCCCTCCCTCCCTCACTCACTCACTCACTCACTCACTCACTCACTATCACTCACTCACTCACTCACTCTTGCCCCTTCCTTTCCCTCCCTCCCCCCAATCTCGGTCATTGTTTCCCTCCTCGTCCTCACTCGCTCCTCAGCTCTGCCTTCAAGTGTTGGCGCAAGAGCCCAACAGCGTCAACGCGCTCAAGTATCAGGCTGATGCGCTTGTCTGCCTCGAGCGAGCCGAGGTCAACCAACGACGCTCCATCCCGAACTCCTCCTGCTCCTGCTCCTCCTGCTCCACAACCACCACCACAGCTCCTCCTCCTCCTCCTCCTCCTCCTCCTCCTCCTCTCCTTGGACACGCGTGCTCCTTTTGCTCCACTCCTACCTTGGTTGCTCCTCCTGCCCTGCCTTATCTCTCCTCTTTCTCTTCTCACGTCATTTCAGGAGGCGCTACCTCCTCTGGATACCCTGGCTGCTCTGCTCCTGGAGGCGATCGACAGCCTGGAGAAGGAGGGAAGAGAAACAGGAGGAGGCGACGAGCTTCTCTCCTCGTACAGAGAGGCTCTTGCTGAATGCTACAACAATCACTCCCTAGTCCTCACCTGCCTCAACCAGTCGGAAGCTGCTGCTCTCGTTCTCAACAAGAGCCTCCAACTATCTCCCAATCTGTCTGCTGCCGCATACAACGTTAGGATATCACCCTCGATTCCTTTCCTCGGCTCTCTCCATTTCCTGCGCACCTCCCCTCCCCTCCCCTCTCCTTCTCTCCTCCCCTTTTCTTTTACCATCTCCTTTCCTCCCCTCTCCTTGCCTCCCTTCTCCTCTCCTCTCCTCCCCTCCCCTCCCCTCCCCTCCCCTCTCCTCTCCTCCTGACCCTGATGACGGCAGCACACGCTGATGCTCCTCCCCTCCCCGCCCCTCTCCTCTCTACCCCTCTCCTCTCCTCCCCTCCCCTCCCCTCTCCTCTCCTCTCCTCTCCTCTCCTCCTGACCCAGATGACGGCAGCACACGCTGATGCTGTGGACGAGGGAGCAGCATATGGACGCCAGCTCCTTCTGGCTGAACCAGCGGAGCGTCGGCCCGAGGTGAGGAGGAGAGCAGCGACTGCGAGAGCATGAACATCCAGCAGGGGCGACCTTGTTACCCTCCAGCAGCATCGTGCGCATGCCATACAGGAGCTGGAAGCAAGCGATGCAAGGATAGTGTCGCACGTTGCGGGCTACTTGACCCCGTCGATGGTGTGCAAACCTTCAAGTCACTTACTATCTAACTTTACATATGTACAGGTGTACGCCCTCGACGTCATGGTCTTGGACTATTGCATCAGGGAGATCGAGGACTTGCAGTCTGCGTGCCTGCTAGAAAGTTTCTCACAACCCTGACCTCACAGCTGATGCGAAGAATCTTTCAAGCTCTCAATCCAACTGTCCACCTCCTCCTTGCTCTTGCAGATGAACTCATACGTCCTGTTGTTCTGCACGTCCCTGATCACGAAGCTTCGCTCGTCCTGCCCGTGGTCCACCAGGCAGGCGGGGAGGAACAGAACTCGCTTCGGGATCGCGTTCGCCTTGAGCGCTTCGGCCCCTTCGAAGCACTTGAGCCTGTTTCCCACTAGGACGAAGAACCTCTCCTTGAGCACCGAAGTGAAGAACCCCTTCTGCCTCATCCAGCCTCTTTTCCTCTCGTAGGGCTTCGCCTGGTGACTCAGGCTCGACCTCCGGTCCTTGTCGCTCCACGTGCCCGCAAAGTTCTCCTTGAGAAAGTCTCGGATGTCATAGGCGAGGAGGCTGCTGAGGAGCTGCAGGAACTGAGCACAGACCAGCCGCGTCCTCGGGTCCCTTGATGCGTACAGCTGCTGCATGGAGGTGCCAGGCAGCTCAAGGAGGATGTTGACATGAAAGCTTCCTGTCTGGTGCATGTAGGTAGCCGCTGCCTTTCCTTGCACGTAGTTGGACAGGCCGAAGTAGGAGCCTTTCCTGACCACCTTGTGAACCCCCTCACTCCTGTACAGCTGGACTTCTCCTGAGTGGACGAAGAAGAGGCTGGAGCAGTTCTGAGCCGCCTCGATGGGCTCTCGAGCTCCCAGGCGGTGGACGATGCCGTACTTGCGGAGGAGGTAGGCGACCGAGGGGTTGTGGAAGACGTCCTCTTTGGACATCCTCCGAGACTCGGTGGCTGTCTCAGCGATCCTCTTGAGCAGGTTGTGGACGTGATAGGCCTTGTAGGGGCTGGTGAAGGTAAGCTCAACCCAGTAGACCATCTCGTCGTGTAGCGCGTCCAGGTCCTCGGCGAACTCGATCGCGATGGTGGTGATCTGGAACTTGTGGGCGAAGGAAACCTTGAGGATCTGGTTATTCTGTATCAAGAGAGCCTTGGAGTCTACTAGCGGCCCGAAGATCATCGGGTCCAAGACGATGTAGTGGCTGAGGAAGATAATCCTCGACCTGAAGCTCTTGCCGATGCCGATGCGCTTGCAATGGCACTTGAAGCTCTGAACGAACCTCTGGCTCAGCGGCAGCGAGAACGTCTTGATGCAACTGAACGCACAGACGTCATGTTCACATCGCGACAAGACAAGAGATAGAGTGACCTCTGTCGCAGCTGCTCCTTGCTGTCTTGGTCGCCCACCACCGACTGCCTGTCAGTGAAAGCCTTCAGACATGCCATCCTGATCGCTTCGTTCTGAATCCTCTCCAGGTAGAGCGAAAGCTCGATGCTGACACCGTGATAGAACGTGACCAGGTCGACTTGGTCTACACCACCTACATCGATGGACTTGGTAGAATGGGCGGTAGAGTCCATGGCCTCCTTGTAGATGTCTTGCAGTAACTTCTTGTCTGCAAAGTTCAACATCTCCCCTTGCAACCTCGTCGACTCCTTCCTCAACAGCAACTTGGACGCGATCTTCTCGTACATCGTCTGCCCCCCGGACACGTCGGGCAGAGTTGAGTCAGTCCATGACGGCTGCCGCTCTAGGAACCTCTTGACGAGGCTCTTGGTGTGGCGGAACTTGTTCGTGCCCTTGTCTTGTTGCTTGCTCTCAGCAGAGGACGAGCTGGACTTCAGGTGGACTTCTATCACCTCCGCCTCTCCCTCTCGCACCCTGTACGCCATGGACGGCTGAGAGTTAAGAAACTGAGACAAGCCCAGTATGCTGCCCTCGCTATGGATACAAAACAGCGGGACTCGGACGTCGCCGTCCAAGGAGGCGTCAGGTACGCAGGTACCAAGGGGATGGTAGTTCTGAGCAGAGTCTGATCTCCGCACGACTCCTTCTACCACTCCACTCTTGACGAGAAAGATCTTATCCTCCACGTAGCCCTCTGGTATGATGACCTCGTGCTTGCGGAAAGTTCTGACCGTTGCCATCGGGTTGTTCTCGAACAGCTTGAAGAACTTCTTCTTGTCGAAGTAAGGAACGTTCAGAGTCTCGTCGCCCACCAGGATTTCCTCCGTGCTCGTGTGCAGCGCAATCTGAAAGTTGGGGTCGCAAACAGCATGCGCCATGTCCCTGTGCAGCAGGTCGATGCTTCTCTTCCGAAAGACGATAATCTTCTGATCTTCATAGAAGGATGTGTTGAAGTGGAAGAAGCAGAACGTCTTTCGAGCTCCCGTCCTCCTACGGCTCTGTACATCTCAAAGTCACGGAGGAGAGGTCTTGAGATCAGATCGTTACCTGGTGCGTGAAAACTTCAACCCTCACGTCTCCTCGTACAATGACGTTGCACTGATAAACCCTGTGCCTCCACGACTCTTTACTCAACCCCTGAGAAATCACAAAGGGAACTCCGTATCGTTTGAGCGAGTCGAAGACAACAACTCTTTGGGAGATGATCACAAAGCTGTGGAGAACATCAACTCGGCACTGCACAAACAGTTCACCTCTCACCTGAAAACAAAGTCTTGCTTTCCGTTCAGCAGCCTTTCAGCCAAGAGTTCAAGTCTGTCCAGAGACATCTGTCTCACGGACCACGGATCTATCCCGCTGTACAGCACCGCCTCCACGTAGTGCACATATCGCTGCTGGCTCGGCCCCTCCACGCTCTGGTTGTGCTTCACCTGCTTCCTCCACATGCAGCTCGACCCCTCGTTCGTCACCTCGTCCAGCTCGTCGTCAGGGTTGAAGTCCTCCGTCCTCCTGTACGCGAACAGCTCCAGCGCGTCCAGCGCTGACCTACGATGCCCCGTCCACATCAGCAGGGCCGCGATCATGACGCCTGTCCTGCCCTTGCCTCCCTTGCAGTGCACCACCACCACGTTCTTCCTGTCCCTCTGCAGCCACGACGACGCTTCCTGGCAGAAGTAGATCAGCTCCGCCAGCAGAGGAGGCGCGTGATCCTCGAACGGGATGCGCTGGACTTGGTTGTAGAGCATCTGGGGATGGTAGTTCCCCATGGACCCGTCGGAGGAGGTATAGGTGTCGCAGAGGTTGAACACGAAGAACTTCCCGTGATGCCGCAGCGACAGGAAGCGAGCCACCACATGGATGTCGTTGCGGTACGCCGTGTGCCCGCCGAAGGCAGGAGCGGACATGGCGATGACGCGGTTGGTGATGTAGGTGAGGTCGAGGTCGTAGCCGTGCTTCTTGTACCTGCGCTTGTTCTGCGAGACTGCGGTCCTGAGCTTCTGGTTGACGGCGCCGCTGATCTTCCTTGCCCTGCGTATGCCGAGGAGGATACGGAGGACCCTTGCTCCGACAGCGACACGGGAGAGGATGCGGAGGCCGGAGGTTGGGTTGGTCCCCTTGACAAGGTACTGATCGAAGGCACCGGCTTCGTACAAGAGCCTTGAAGTCACTGCAAAGGTGCTGAACCAGATGACGACGAAGTCGAAGATGTTCCAAGAGACCATCCAGAAGCGCCTGCCAAGAGCCAGTTGCCTGAGGGATAGCTCGAGAACGAAGACGAAGCCAATGCTCACGTTGATGCCAATCTGCACGGGAGTCTGATGATCGGACTCGTTAGAGTCAAAGGCAAACAAGAGAACATTGATAACATCCGTGATGACAAGAACAAGTATAATGGCGTTGACCCACAATGACTCGATCGCGTTGGCTAAACTTTCTTTCCAGTATTTCACATCGTCATTCTCGTTTTCAACCAATTGCTCCCACTCGAGAAACACATCGTTGAGTTTTCCGCCAACAAACTCAAATGCTGTCGAGATCATGGCTTCAGACGAAGCCACGGCTGCTGCCTCGTTGTGTACCGAAGCTTTCAGCTGGATACCACCTTCGATAGCCTCCAGAGTATCAGCAAGCGCAGGGACTTGCCATGTTGAAAGCTTCTGGATCGGAAACGTTGCAAGAGTGAAATGAAGCTGTGTCGGACTTCCACTGTGTCCCATAACTCTCTCCCCGCTCTGAGCTGCGAGATTGAACTTGAGGTCGAGCTCGGTTGAAGAGAAGGGAAGGATACGTGTCAGGTCCAACACGACGCGCCCGATCAATTCAGTCCTTGCGCTGTCCCAATGATACACAGAGATCGTGAGATTGCTGGCCTCCCCTCCTGATTCCAACTCACATCTTCTCCGCGCCCTGTCGAAATGATGCTCATGAACAAAGATTTCAAAAGTTTCGTTCCAGGTGTATTCAAGAGCACTGAACTTGACGCTGCTCTGAAACTCTTGGCTATCAAAGGAAAACGTGCAGAAGCAATCACACGTGGTATCCGAACCTGTGCTCGGCAAGTCGACGGCTGATTTCAAGTTGATCAGGAGAGTCTGATGCAATGGTGCCGGCCCAGACCTCGGCTGGGGCGGGTTACCTTCATCCGTGATATCATGCTGCTCAATGAACTCTGCATCTGTGAAAGGATATATCTTCTCACCGGCCTCCAATGTTTCATTTCCTGTCCTGTGTCTTTCAGGTAGCTTCTTCTCTTTCCGTACATAATTGATGGAGAGCGGGTTGTTGATCACCACATCCAGGGTCTCGCATTCTTCCAGGACTATGTCCGAAGACAGGTCTCCATTGCCCTCGTGAGCTCCGTGGTATGGTCCAGCTTCAACTCTGTACTCCATATTGAGGAGAATTTCAAACTCTTTCTCTGACAATCCTGTTCCTCAAGGTTCTAATTAACTTCGATGTCACTTTCCATCCTGGCTCACAACTCCCTTGTTCTGCTGTCCTTCCCTGCGATGAATGAGATCGGAGATCAACTCATTCAAGAGAGTTACAACCTTACTCTTATTGAATCTTCTCAACCATGGCGCGCTCCCTGCTTCTGATCCCTTGCGCCTTCAGTATGGTCCTGACTGTACCATGGTTCGCAATTTGGGTCCCCATACCACCCCTTCATTTCAGGTATTCGAAGGGGTGGGGGTGATGAAGGAAGTGGGGTCGGTCAATCCGGGACGGCTGAGACTCAAGTACCCCACCCCCAACCCAACTCCAATCTTTTTGCCACCCTTTTTGAGAGCACAGATGAGGGGGTCCTTTCATAGCCTCTCAATTAGTGAAAGTCACTGAGAGTGGTGAATCAGGAGTTCTGCCCGGGGTCACTGAGGGGTGGGGGTAGGGGGGTACTACGGTACCGGCAGTGCTCAAAAAAGTGAGGAAAGAAAAACGCAACTTCGAACTGACAGCTGAAATATTAGTCAATCCTCTTCACGCTCTCAGCCTTTTTTACTCAAAGTTAATGCCCGGCCGCGGCCGCAGTGCGCCGGGCCCGGGGTCACCGTACGGTGGTGATGGTCGGACTGAGCCCGGCCTGGAGTCTGCCGCCGGCCGCGCAGTGCTCCGAGGCTACTCCGGTGACCGGGGCCCGGGGAGTCCGAGGCTCACTGAGTCAGGCTCGGAGCGCCCGGGCCCTCTGAGTGACCGTCGGCGAGGCTCAGAACTGAGGCCTCAGCGAGTTGACTCGGAACTGAGCCGGGCGGGCCCCCGGGCGGCCCCACCGGTCGCTCAGCTGATTTTTTTTATAATAGAGTTTTATCATTCTAGGTCGACAGGCATAGATCATAGATACTCGGGAGTAGGGGAATTCATTATTGGGTATTAATATTATAATGGTACAAACAGTTATAGCTTACTGGTAGCTAGAGATGACCTTTTTCTACCAGGCTGGGAGATATTTCAGAAACAGCGCTACTGTTGCTTCTTTCTTATAACACATTTAATGTACAAAACTTTAAAATTATTTTTCCTTTAAAAGTTACAGGGCAAAGGACCATGGCAGGACGCCTGCTAGAGGAGGGTTTGGTCTGAGATGGAAGGAGGCGGGGCAAGACGAGTGGCACGTGGCGTGCATGGTTGAAAGAAGATCTCGATTTCGCTCGTGTGAAGATGAAGGAATGAAGCTCTGAGGAACGAACTCCTGTCGCAGTCGACGAGGAACAGCATGAATACCCAGCGGACGTTGTAGTTCAACACAACATGCCTAAAGAATCGGTTGTGTTGGAGGTGGATATACAGGACGAAGGTCCTATCGTCTCTATAGCTGAGGACGATTCAGGAGCAACATCAGGCAAAGGGCTGAACATCCCCCTTGAGCCAACTGTCTCCCTAAGTACCGTGAGGGTCAAAAAGCACAAGCTGCGCGCCCCGGACTTTCCTCTGCCGCCGCCTCCTGCTAGAGATCGCACGGGGATAGAAGTGCTCCAGCCTGGAGAGAAGATCTATCCTTACACTGATGCTGAATTCATCGAGCAGAACGACATCACTGATGAAGGCATCCCCCCCGAGCCGCGCGCTGGACCGCCGGCCGACCACCAGAGGCTGCGCATGCTTGTGAGGTCGGCGACGGATCTCCCTCAGATGGACCTTGCAGGAAAGTGCGACTGCTACTGCAAGGTGTCCTTTGACAATCAGGAGCATCAATCTACGATCAAGTTCAACTGCTTCGACTGCTCCTGGAACGAGACGTTCGAGTTCTTCCTGCACGAGGCTAACATCAACTTTGCCAAGTTGTGTGGGCCCAGTGGGAGCTGCGGCAAGACCATCATGGTTGCCTTGTATGATTGGGACAGGCTGAAGAGAGCGGATCTCGTCGGAAGGATCTCCATCGACCTTGCTCAGATCGTCAACATGTCATCGGAGGGCCAGGACTTCACTGTTGCTCTGATGTCTCAGACGGGAGAAGACGTGATAGGGCACAACGGAAGGGCGACGCAGGTCTCATTCCACATACAGATGTTGCCCATCGCTCAGATGAGGCACTGGCAACCGCCTTCGCTGTCACAGACTCTGTCGACAGTAGGAGGAGAGTCGAAACTCAAGGGCGACTTCACTCGAACAAGCTCGACGATGAGCGGCCTGATTCGAAGCAACGCATCTGTTCAGACAGTTGGAAACACGATCAATGATATGTTCTTGGAATGGGAGGACGTGGAGCAGGAGGAGAACGACAATGACAAGTACTGGAGGGAGCAGCTGGCCAGAGCGATGGAGTCCCTGTGGATCAATGCCCTTGTCCTTTGTCTGGTAGTTACCGACGTTGTCAGCATCCTTGTGTTTCTGAACGACAGCTCAACCTCCAGCGAGCCTCCTGTACAGATCGGCATCAACATGAGCGTGGGAAGTGTCTTTGTCATAGAGCTCACTTTGAGGCAACTTGCGCTCAGAAGGCGGTTCTGGTTCAGCATCTGGAACATCTTTGACTTCGTCGTCATCTGGTTCAGCGCCGGAATCATGATCTCACGCTTCATCATGGTGGATGGAGCAGGAGGGATAACAGGAGGTCTCTCAGGCACAAACACAGCCTCCGGCCTCCGCATCCTCTCCCGTGTCGCTGTCGGAGCAAGGGTCCTCCGTATCCTCCTCGGCATACGCAGGGCAAGGAAGATCAGCGGCGCCGTCAACCAGAAGCTCAGGACCGCAGTCTCGCAGAACAAGCGCAGGTACAAGAAGCACGGCTACGACCTCGACCTCACCTACATCACCAACCGCGTCATCGCCATGTCCGCTCCTGCCTTCGGCGGGCACACTGCCTACCGCAACGACATCCATGTGGTGGCTCGCTTCCTGTCGCTGCGGCATCACGGGAAGTTCTTCGTGTTCAACCTCTGCGACACCTATACCTCCTCCGACGGGTCCATGGGGAACTACCATCCCCAGATGCTCTACAACCAAGTCCAGCGCATCCCGTTCGAGGATCACGCGCCTCCTCTGCTGGCGGAGCTGATCTACTTCTGCCAGGAAGCGTCGTCGTGGCTGCAGAGGGACAGGAAGAACGTGGTGGTGGTGCACTGCAAGGGAGGCAAGGGCAGGACAGGCGTCATGATCGCGGCCCTGCTGATGTGGACGGGGCATCGTAGGTCAGCGCTGGACGCGCTGGAGCTGTTCGCGTACAGGAGGACGGAGGACTTCAACCCTGACGACGAGCTGGACGAGGTGACGAACGAGGGGTCGAGCTGCATGTGGAGGAAGCAGGTGAAGCACAACCAGAGCGTGGAGGGGCCGAGCCAGCAGCGATATGTGCACTACGTGGAGGCGGTGCTGTACAGCGGGATAGACCCGTGGGTTAACCAGCGGCTGTTTCTGTCGGGGATAGAGTTGTGCGGGTCCCGGCTCTTCGATGGAAAGAGGAATGTATTCTTAAGGTGAACAAGAGAATGAGGAGAGGAGAGAGGGGGGAGAGAGAGGAGGGGAGGGGAGAGTGAAGGAAAGGGGTCATGAGAGAAGAGTG